TGCAGAGCGGGAGGAGATGCTAATTGCGAGGGCTAGAGGCGAGGCAACAGTGCTGGCTGCAATGAATGGACCTCAGCTCTGGCGATGTTTCCACTTCACCTGACAAATGTTTCCCGTTGGTGTCAGTCCAGGCTATCTTTTACTGCATTATCCGGACAATCGCATATTTGAGCCCATAGCTGCGGTTATATTGTCATAGGGATAAATTGAGCGCATTTGCCACCTTCTTGGCCTTTATCGGTGCGACTAGACTGTAGAAATGTGGACAGCCTTAGTGAATTCTGTTCGTAGGCTAGTCGGCACATCCTGGCATGCCAGATAGCGGAACCTTTTTATGATTCGGAGGTCAGTGAACGCAGTTGGCGATCAGGGGTATCTGGGTGTCCACGTGGAGATTCCGTGATATGCAAGGCGATTGGAAGCCAGAGTGGCATTGGGAGATAAGGGTTGCGGGGCGTGAGAGTGTTTCACTGGTCACCACTCTCTCTCTCTCCCTCTCTCTCTATGTCCTCTCTGCCGAGATACTGTGAACCTTGCGTGCATCCCATTCGCACGACTCCGCGCGACTACAACCTTGACTTGTGGTCCCTGGGATGGGGTCACAGAATCTGGCCCACATCACTCCTGGAATACAAGAAGCTTAATTGATTTTGACGGCATTCAGCGCTAGCACGTAAGTGCTTTGAGTCATTTGATGTATCGTCCTACCTACGTAATTTAGAAAAGCTGTCAACACAAAGCCTAAGTGCTATGAATATCCATCGAGCACAGAGTAGACGCCGCTGGGGACGGCATCGCCCGTAGACCAGCGGTAGGACACCAGGCAGGAAAGTGTCGGCTCGGCTCCATACAGTGGCATATGTTTTTTTGGCCGTGAGAATTCCCCTTGCCGCTCCATTGACTGCCGAATTGATATGGGTTCACGAATACCACACTAAGAACCGCTCGGCAGCAGCTTCCTTCCTCAGCCTGTTCGCTAATGGTCAGTAAGATGCAAACGGTCCTGGAGGGACTTCTGAGTACGACCAATCGAGGGGCAGGAAAACGAAGAAAAGGAGTACGAAGTTTACATATTACAAAAGGCTAGTTAAAAAAGACTGGTCGCTCAAAAATGAATCAAAAAAGCAAAAAAATTATAATAGCAAAGCGGTAGCGAGTAAGTCGGTATGTTATCACATCAAGAAAGAAAAGTGGCAAAACACACTATTTGGCAATCTAGTTCAACTTCCGATATGGCTCTTCAGGCACGTCAAAGGCCTCAGCAGCGAAGCGTGCGGCCGTGAAAAGGTAATCACTGAGGCGGTTGATGTAGGTTGTAGCCGCGGCCTCCACAGCAAGACTATCGCCAACAGAAGTGCGCGCCTCGTTCACCGCAACAATTGCGCGCTCAGCCCGCCGGCACACTGTGCGTGCCACATGTAGTGAGGTCGCAACTACACCACCCGAGGGCAGGACAAATTTACGAAGAGGCTTGATCTGGGCTGTCATCTCGTCGATCCAGGGCTCTAGTTCCTGGGGAGCAGCGTGGGCGGGAAAATTGACTCGAGCGTGACGTTTTGGTCGCGTCCCAATCTCCTCCTTTTCTGAGGCGGTATCGGCGACGTTCGGGATGGGCGTGGCTACGCATGAACCGAGGTCCTGTAGCCTACATTGGATTGAGAGGAGCTGTTGTCTCAGGCGATCCAAATCGTAGTTCGGGTTTTGGGTCACAAATTTACTGAGGATGCCTTGTCGCTCTGTTAGGTGGGCTAGGGCCAAGCCGATGGAGGAACTGAGTTCGTCGATGGTGCCTAGGGCATGAAAGACCTCGTCCGTCTTTGGACGACGTTCACCATTGAAAAGAGCGGACGACCCTTTATCGCCGGTCCGAGTGTAAATTTTGATGGGGCGAGCGACAATAGCCTTATTAGCGTTGCCGATGATCGAAAGGGAACTATAAAGTCCAAAAAGGTTAATAATGAAGGAACATAATCCCCTAATTGTAGTAGAAAAAAAAATCTTCAGCAGCCCTCAACACGCACCAGAAGGGAAGCGATGCTAAAAGGCCAGTGATACAGACAAGGAATAGAAGGAAGGCAACTCCGGACGTGCATTCAGTCGTGAGAGGAGAGCGTACGAATCGATCTTCTGAGGATAATAGTCAAAGGAAAAGGCAAGCACAGCAAGTGTGCTCCTACCTGGAGTCGGATTAAACCAATAATTGCAAACATTTTCAAACGGACAAGTCGTCTGCCACTTAGCCGAATACAACAACATGGTAGCCAACCATGGAAGTCAAATTCCCTCGGCGGACTACAGATCTAATTTTCAGGCTAAATAATGCAGGTTTCCCAATTATCAAAATAACAGTTCATGCTTGACGAGACCCTTCTTCCGCGAAGCAAAAGCCTATGGAGTAATAATGGTTGGTGGACAACCTCCGAAAGGCGATAGTTACACGGCAAGAAAACAGAAATCAGGCGAATGTGCCGCGCCGTCTGCCACAAGCCCACTGCTGGACCTGCCCACCTACTCAACGTTCACGGTCAGGCCAGCAGATTGTTGCATATTTGAAGAAGAAGAAGATGGGCTCGCCGGAACAGGTTTATCTAGATGCTGACGTTTTGGGGAGCTTGGTCGGCTCTCCATTGTCAAAGCTCAGGACCAAATCACATCGGGCTTAAGAAGGCCATATGGAGACGGCCCGACGGCGAGTTTACTCGGTGAGGAGGAATAAGAACCGCCAGACCAACCACCCGACACTGGTTCAGTCACCTCCTCCCAACGGAGTGGTGACTCGCAACGCACGCAGACAAAACGCCCGTCAACCATCCCTCGAGAGGCCGAGGCAGTGAGAAGAGAGAAAAATCAATCAGCATGAGGCTGACCAACGTGACACGTCACTCGGGATTTCTGGTCGATTAATTGCATTTTACGCTTTGACAATGGAGAGCCGACCCAGCTCTTCGAAACGTCAGCATCTAAATAAGCCTGTTCCGGTGAGCCATCTTCTTCTTCTTCAAATAATCAATCCGGATTTCTCAACTTTGCCAACTGAGCAGATTGTCGCCTGCCAAACAACACTGGCCTGATTAAAAATCAGACAGCAGCACGAGCAGAGGACAAGTTCCGCGGGCTCCGGTCAAAAATCATCGAATCGGCTTTACCGGGCCACAGTGACCCGCACATTTAGGCATAGCACAGGCCTATTCGGTCGCACGCTCACGCACGAGATCAGTCACTAAAGCACCGCCCATCGTTCAAACAGCAACCACGCGAAGAAGTTTGTCGAAGTCGGAAAACGCATCGAGCATGTAAGTTTGCGCGAGGCACGTGTTACGAGGCTTCATACGGCGTCATCCCAAGTCGGCTTGACTCGGACTCGTCGCCGACATGGGGAAGAAAGACCATCTCAGCCTGAATCCGGGGCGGATATACTCCATTATAAAAGCACATGCACATTTTCCAATTATCGTGATGATTTACTATTTGTGATTTGAGAGGTGGCCAACTGACGAAACAACCCTGTTCTTCTCGGACTGGGGGTCAGTCTGTAATGACCTCTTACTGTGGTCTTTAGGACGCTATCACTTACGTGAGATCCGGGATCCCCATTGAAGGCGGGTGCGTATAGAGTTAAGGAGCAGCAGATGTGTGGCACGCATATAAGTGACTCTAGTCTCATTAGCCACACACATCCCAGTTCACTTCCAGCCGTCCTGACTCCTCTGGTAGACACGGTGTGGGGATCGTCCTCTCGGAGCAGGCGAACCATCCCTGTCGTCTCTGTGTACGCACCAACATCAGCTGTCGACCAGCGCGACAAAGACACTTTTACTCGCAGTGGCAGATGTTAGTGAAAAGACTTTCTCACCGTGATCT